ATTCTACTTCTTAGTAAAGATTTATAAACTACGTTTCTACTTGATGTTTTTAGGTTACTAAGAAGAAATAAATGATTATCAGTTTAAGATCAGAACGAGATCTCCTGGACTTGTCGCCTATGGGTCCAGTCAGAAAATCTGATATTAATATCAAACAAATATTTAATGCTTATCTTAGAAATAAGAATTAATATATTCTTTAATTTATTGCGAAAAATGAATATCCTGTTAATGTTTACATGTGTATTTAAGGATATTCCGAGTCTATAAATAACACACTGTAAATAAATAAATATTGGAAAAACCAATATGCAAATATAGGAAGATATGTTTATATAACAGTTACAATGATCTTTGGATAAATGCTATTTAAACTTGTCGACAATTAGTAGTACAGTTGTAGACTAAAATTGCATGCACTTCTGAGTCTTCATTGACACGCTCAATTAATAACCAGGCTCGCTCGGTTGTTTCGGGCAAGTGTTTTGTAAATTTAAATCAGCCCGGTTTGCCATTTGCACGAATCCCGGGCGCCAAATTAAAAATTGGTGCTGCTGGTTTTTTGTATGCAAGTCTGGCTGATGGCGACGGCGGCGGCTGCGTGGCGGAGGTCGACCCCAAACTTAAGTCTACACTTTTTGTTCTCCGTTTTCATTTTGGCTTGCCATTCACTAATTTGCAGCTTTTAAAAGCAGCAAACTTGTTTGCCGCAGACCAACCAATTGATTGGGTTAACATATGGCAGTGTTCTTCGCATCCCATTTCGTTTCGTTTCATTTCACGAGAGTGACGAGGGAGAGTGTAGCGTAGTTCCTACATGGATATAATAGCGCAGTTTCGTGGATTCACGCTTAATCTCCGATTGATATGTTTCAGCGGCTCAGATCAGTCCCCGAATCTGGATTGGATGTATGCGTGTTTGGGGAGAAGATAGATCTGCATAATGCCCTAGTTTGACATGTTGATGAACGGTATGGCCGTTGCACTCGGTCCCAAAGGACGCCCAGGTCCCGACCTTGCGAAGGGCTCTGAATATTTATTGCATTAGATGCATTAAAACTGTCTGCCCATAAATTGGGTAAATATAATATAATCGAAAGGGGATAACCCTTGGAAGCGAATGCGAATTTTATACAATCCTCAAAAACGCTACTACTACTGCAGTCACCGAGACTCGACAACATCGGCCTGCGGTGCTTTTAATAACTTCGCACTTCCTGAAAAATTACAGGCCATATGTTATAAATATAATATGCAGAGTGAGCCCATTCGTCGTCCTTCCTTTTTCTCGTCTCGCCTGTACATATAAATTGGCTTAATTGAATGCCTTTTACAAGACATGGAACAAAATAAAACCAAACGAAAAGTATCCAAGATTAATTAAATGTTCAGCTGAAATTGTTAGCTCCATTAAAGCGAGTGCATTCTAACTAATAAAAATGTCAATTATTAGGATTGTAAACGGTGCGGAACACGAATTAAAAAAAATAATAAAAAGAATATTTTCGTTCACTTCATTAACTACCAAGATTTTCCAATTAACATTTGTACGGACATTAATTATTGTCGTCTAAAGAGGTAATTTGAGAAAGTAATGATACGTGAAAGTGTTCTGGATTGAATCGAGGAGGTCCAGATGACGATAATATATATTGGTGGCGTATTATTTTCGGGTAACCGACAAATATATCTAAACTCCGTCTGCATTCCTGGCCTCAGGTCTCTTTCGATAGCCGCATTATGTTGTTGTGTGTGGCAAAAAACGATGAAAAAAAAAATAAAAGAAGCAACTAACCCCGAAGAAGTTTGCTTCACAATACACATTATACTCGAGAAAGAATATTTTATACATAAAACTCAATATCAATAGCGTATACCGTCAATATGTTATATTTTAAACCAATATAAATTTAAAATTGTTTGTAATTAATTGTATTATGTTTCTGAATACGTTATAAAATATTTATTCTTATAGTATTAATTTATTTTATATTAAGATGTGTTAATCTAACAAATCTTCTTTGTTACAATAATTCTATTTGTCTCGAATTGTTATAACTTTTCAAAATATGAGTAAAATTTGATTAAATATTAAATTATATTATAAACATAAATAAGTTCTCTACTATCTCATCACTATTGTGATATATAATTTGGGAATTAAATTATTTTAATTTTGACAGAATATTTTGTAAATCGATTCGGTATTGAAATTCATAAGCAATTTGTAGATCCAAGGGCTTGAGACACTTCAATCTTCTTGTTGTCAGAAACATGTTGTCATCAATAATTCAATATTTTTGTCTACAAGTTATACAATTATGATTTTAAATAAACACTGTATCCTAACAAAGTTGCAATGTATCAACAAAATTCAATATTTATTACTAACCTAGACAAACAAAACCATAATTATATTCTGTGCGTTCACCAGTTAATATTTAATCATTTTCTACTAATTATTAAGCTTATCCAAAGAATTTCATTACTATTCAGTTAAAATGAAAAATTGAACAAATATTAACTTAGAACGAAAGAAAAAAACAATTGAATTATGTAATTGTTTTCAATGATTAATGAGATCATCATTCATTACTACCTCTTACAAAAATCTGCTAACAAACAAAATTTCTTCTTCTTTAGTATTTTATTTTTTGTCTTACAAAAACACATCAAAATATATAGCAGTTACAGGACACTAATAATTAAGACATCATTTCTAATCTGTGTAGGCAGCATTCTTTCAATTTCCATGTTTAATTATTATTTACCATTCTCGGAACGGCGGCTTCCGATAATTAACATTCAGCAAATCTTTATTGTACCGCTATTTGCGTGGAAGCGGTTTTAATAAATAAGAGACGAAATTAAATATTTATTGTATAGTTGGCCGGAGAATTCAATTGATTTTAAAACGAAAAGAATGTCTAAATATTTCAAATGGATATTTCTGGATTTACCTGCGATGTAAATAATTGGGAAGGCTAAGAGGATATTTTTAAATTCACCTCCACCAATAATAATAATCGCCTTTGTTTTCTTTTTCCGTCTGGAATAATGATGTGCTGTTCCGAATTTTAAAAATAGCATCAGCAATTAGTTTTTATAGCCGTTGCATAACTAACGGCATAATTAAACTTGTTTTTGTATTCGTTGTATTACATTTAATTGGATTTTAAAATAGATTTTCCGCAAAAAATAATTATTTAGCATATAAATGAACTGTATTATTGGGTCGTAACCACTATATTATTATATAAACAATATAATTTATTCATTTTAATTGGATCATAAATGAAGTTCTCCAAATGAAAACCATGGAAACCTACAAATTGGAAACGGTAGCAATTGTGGCTTGAATGACGCACACGTGTTTTAGCTATAAATCTCCTTGACAACACCTAACACAACCCAACGACTGAAATAGTCCAAATCATTGGAAGTTTGTAGATCATTTTCTGAATGTTCACTAAAAATGCATGGATTACTAGAAAAGAGTTGGTAAAAATAAAATGTTTATTATTGATGAATATCAAAATGTTGAGTAATATAATTGAAATTTTTGAAGAAAAGATCGAAAAGATTACGCATAAAAGAAAATCAACTACAAAGGTGCAATAAAATACGAACGGTTCATCCATAGCATTGCTTGGTTACCAAAATCCATTGCGTAAAATGCATTCTCATGGGTCCAACTAATGCAGTCGATATCACTGAATATTAATTGAAAATTAGTGAATGAATAAATGGAAGAATAAGAAGTTATCCATTGATGCGTGTTGTTAAATTTGTAGATAAAAAAATGAATATATATGAATGAGTTAATTAAAATCTGCATATATATGTCGGAAGAAAGGGATAAACGACCACGAGAAGTGTCTGTTCGTAATTTAGATATCTCCTAAATTATTCCGAAGAAGATTCACTTGAGATTCGGAATTATATATAAGCGGTATATGAAGATGAACATAAAAAAAGCGCTTAAGCTAACAAGATCGTTTCGTATATGCATTTCGACACATGTTTATAATTGACTGCATGAATCACTTTTCAAATCAAGAGTTTTATTAAAACGAATGCATGTATACATTTCTTTTGAAAGCAAATAGTAAATCGTGTTTCGGGGTATCAAATCGGATATTTAAGTCTATGTCAGAGTCTGTCATTTTTTGATTACTCGTTGATTCTCTTCAAAATTAAATAAAATTTGAAAACTTTTTATTATAGAAAACGATATGTTGCAGATATTTTATAACACCTTCTTCCATCTGGAGTTTTACGATCTTTGCGAATATGATATACTATTACTTGGCTTCAGTCCAAGAGTAATTTCTGAACTTCCTTGCTTGTAAACAACAGTGTCTTCAGGTCGCCTCACGTATTCTGATCCGTAGTTTAACCTTAATATTTGTCAGCCTTTTGTCCATATATTCCATGTGTGTCTTGGACGTTTCTTAGCTTTCATCGCGACTTAATTGTCTGACATAAACTAAATTCTCCTATTTTCCACATCAGCATGTTTCTGGCGCAGCACGTGATTGCCATTATTTCTGCTTGGAATACTACCGTAGGGTAATTCCCAAGGTTCTTCGAGACGTCTGTTCCGAATCGTAGATTTTCGACATTTCCCCTAAACTTTGATACGTCAGTAAACTATATCAATCTTCTTTCTTTACCATTTTACTCCAGAGACATCCATTTTATAAAATTACATAGATAAATATATAATTCTCAAAGAAAAGATTATGTTCATCATCAAATAAAAACAATGATTTCCTTTACATTCTTCAATAGTAACTTATTTTTTTTAATTAAAGTACTTCATTTATTAACCAAAAAGTACATATTTTTATATGTTTTCTCAGATTATTTACATTACTAATAAACTAAATTTGTAAAAAGATAATACTAAACTAATAAAGATTTCATCTTTACGTCACGACAAAAAAAATATAAATAATGAAACACAATGGATATTTTTTAACTATATTATTAATTACCTTATATATCGATTGATCTGAAACAAAAAACGACATATAATGCAATTATCAAAAGTTAATAATATTTAATACGTTTTCTCTTCCTTTTCTACACCTTGAGAATTAACCTCAACTAGACTTTGAATCTATTTTTAATATATAAATTTATTACCATTAATGTATTGGTTTTAACTTGTATTGGTTTGTTCTTGAAGATTTTTTCACTGTATTTTTATTATGCAATTACAAGTAATAAATCGGAGAGTTCACACAACTATAATATTTATTATCGCCCTTGACATTTAACTCAATGTTAATTACTGTGGCACTGTCGTTTACTGATGGGAACTCAGACATATATGTTAGGTATTTAAGTTAAGAAATTTACATATCTAGAATTTCTATTGAATTTAATATATTATAATTAAGATTATATCTGTAATTAAGAAGCTTTCTTTCTTATTCGTATTTATTTGTATAGTTATAATTTAGAAGTAAAAAAAAACATAAATTATTAAAATAAAATTGTAAAAATAAAATATTATGTTATATTAAAATATTTTCTACTAAGAATTTAAGATCTATTAGTGTGTAAATATAACTGTAGGATTGAATAACAGAAAAACAGAGAATCATGATCAACCATTGAACCATGATCATAAGGAAAAATGAAGAAGAAAAAAATCATTTTAGAAGAAATTAACATTTAAGAAACTACTACAAAAATGAAATTGACAATTGAAGATAATTTAAATGATAAGATTACATATCTAACAAGCACAACCATTATATATAGTAGGATTATTGTCTTCCTGTCATCAATTTTATTCAACTTCAGAAGCCAAAACTAACATGCAGCTTCATTAATAAGCGATCAAGATAGTAAACCAATAGGATACTTATCATTTATCAAGTTTGATAGTCCAATATTTTTTTTTTGTAGCAGTATAAATATAAAAGTTTAATATAATTTTACCAATATTATTGAAACTGTATCAGTATTTAATGTTAAATAATTATATGTTCATCATCAATGCTTTAAGAAGAGTGGTATGTGTTCTTACAACTAAGTTGTAGTTTTAGATTCTCAGTTAATAATCTGTTGGTTCTGTGAAACTAATGTGATCCAGTTTGGATTTCACTGTAAACCAAACGTGTTTTTCTTTGCACTTCAAAAGTTTAAGTGGTATTAAATTAGTCCAGCTACCGATCCTATCCAGAAAACGTGCGATTCGGTTCTAATTAAATGCAACATTTGTTTATCGTCGATGACTATTTTTACTTTATAGCCTTTAGCTCTAAAAGAGCTTGGATCAAAAATAAAAAAAAAAAGAAAAGGAACAAATAAATATGCACTCAACACAGGCGGATGCGTGAATAAATAATACATTTTAAAAGCCAAGATGCGGTAAGTAGTAACCATGGGGACCAGATTTTTTCCGAAGCTCCTGTGGAGAACGAGAAGTCCAGAAGCGGAAAATTGGTTTTAGCCGTGCGTCCATTAATGGAATCGAACCAAAGACGACGAGATGTGAGATGAAAAGCTCCTTAACATGTAACATTCTAACGGAGTTCACGTGGTTTTATTGTTGCACGCCGCTCAATAATAGCTAATTAATAAAATACCTGAGTCTCGTGCAACGTAAATAAAGGAAGCACAGCGAGCGTACCGGGATTTGCATTTCGAATCAATATAATTTGTAATGCATTTCCCTTAGAATCAATACACCTTAATTTATGCCCAACGGCAAAACCATTTTCCATCAAAAATAGGTAAATAAATCCGTCGTCCGCAAAAAGGTCTTATCTATCATTCATTCGGTCTCATAAAACCATAACATCCATAACAACCCATCCCCCAAAGAAAACATTAACTTGCAACCACCCCATATAAAATTCATGAATGCCGGCCGTGTTTCGGCCAATAAATGATGGATCTTCGTGTACACATTTCAGCTGTTTTATTATTACATGGGCCAGACAAATATAGAAGTGAATGATTAATCGGGTGGAATTTAATTAAAACCGACTGCATCTATTTTTCTACCCCTCAGAATGCAAGCAATCTTATCGGACGACCATATTTTTTTTTCTCTCCAATCTAATTAGCTATCAGTGTGTCTTGTTTTATCAACCCTCGAACAGACCAACGGGGACGTTTATCTTACCACCGAAGCTACTGCATTTTATTTTCTTCATCACATGTAATATGTGCGCGATAAAGCACTGCTCTTCCACGATTTATAGCATTTACCTGTCAACACTTATACAAATATGTATTAAAGTGTCCTTAATTACTTTCAAAAAATCTTTTAGCTACCATAATAAAATGATACAATTTACACCTTTACAAATTTACAAATACATTATACGGTTGGACTGAAATGATTAATTATTCACATATTTCTAATATAAGCAAAGAAGTTTTTCGTGGAAAATAAATCACCAAAGACCAACTAAATACTCTAATATAGTGTTTCTCAAACTTTTTGGTCCGCGACTCCCTTTTGTACTTAAAAAAGACTCCCCAAGTATTTTTAGCGAGTCCCACTTGAAAATCACTACTCTAATAGACACTAACAACTAGAAAAAATACATCAATATCATTAAAATTTCTAAATTAACAAAATAATAAAAAAAATCCTTTATAGATTTAAGTCTCCTTTTGTGCAGTCCATTTTAAAGTCTATTTTTATACGATTTCAAGCAATTCTGAATATGATGGAACCAATAACCCGGACTATACAAGGTATTGATAAAGATTATTTAAAATTAGCTAATCTAATATACAATAACAGATTACTCTCAAATTTTAGCAAGAATCTCCCACATATTTCTAGCAAGTACGTGCATGAATACAGTACATTACTTTATTATATAAATGTTAAACATTTTATATATAGACAAAAACAAATCATATAACCACATCCTGAGTATAATTACAAATATCTCAGATTAGGAGGATACTAGCAATATTTCTTAAGACTATACCAAAATATTATATAATTTAAAATAACTGGTTCCTTAATTCACTAAAACCATGAATCTTATGGTGGATTCACAATAATGATATATAAATATTGGTAATTAGTAATTTCAATAATAAACATTATAGAATATTTTATGAATATCTGAATAACCACGTAAAATTATGTTTTTATTGTTTAAATTTAGAATTTTCTATTAAATAGCGAACATTAATTTTCAAGTATATACAGTGTTAATGTTACCCCATTTTAATTCTTAGTAAAAAAAATACTAATAAATATTTAAAAGGAATTTGGCGTAAAATATGACCAGAAGTTATACTGCTTAACGCTTTGAGGAGCTAGAAATTCTTAAATGTCTAAACCTAACAAATTTTCATACAACTGAATCAGACAACTTCTTCAACTGAATCAACATCGGATAGTATGGACGATCGATTCATGGCTTTCCTGTAAATTTTCTAGAAAATTATGTCCAAAATGTGGTACATTACTTGCACCGCCGCCCCTCAAAGAGTTAAATGAGATTAAAAACTTTTTTTTTTTACTGAATATAATCTTTGTTAGAGAAGAGCTGTTATTGTTAAGCGATGAAAGAGAGACGAACATTAACTTTTTACTAAATAAAACTTTTCTTTCTTCGCTTAACAAACTAATTCAAGTTTAATATATATTAAAATATAAATAATATTGGAAATATATTTGTTCTCTTACATAAAATGCAGTCGCATTCTCTAATGTACTGCCAAAAAACATAAAAAACTATTCTCAGTTGCGATAATTTACATTATTTTTGTTTTCAAACGAAATTTCTTTTACATAAAATTTAGATAAATTCAGATATGCGCTGCCAGTACACATAAAATAGAGAATATTCTAGTATGTACGGTAATTTAAAAGTTATTTAAAACAGTATCTGTCGATTGTGCAAAACGTTTCACTAACCAGATTCGAGTTTATTTGCATTGCAGTATTTATATTTGTTTTGCACTTCAATTCCTCTGTTCATCTGCATTTATATAATACGCATGCATGTATTCATGCTCGACTAAGCAGAAAAGTATTTACTCAATCTTTGCTTATGCTTCAAACTTTTATTCAATTACAAATTTAGTTTTTAATTATTTCCTATAATAAAGCATCGACTTCCTAGATCAATTTTGATTTTAAGTTTATGAAAGTGAAAAATTATTTTAATATACAGATATTGGCAAAATCGATTACCCTCATTATGTGAAGTATTGCTATATTTTAAAATAAAGTTACATTACGAAAATTATTTTAAATTGCAGTGTTTTTTGTACCAAAAGACGCTCCTTTCTTATTTTATTTTTAAATGACTAATAAATGTATGCTAAAGTCGTGCGTTTGTAGTCTGAAAAATAGTGTATATTATTATTAAACAAGATATATAAACGATCTTCTAATCGCTTTGGCATGAAATAAACAGATTACAATATTTATTGAGCAATGGCTTTTGATGTTTAAGTAATAAAGTAACGGTTCCGAGAATTCTCTTTATATTCCATAATTCACAATTGAACGGACAATTGTATAGTTAACTTTTCCCTGACTCCGCAGAAAGTGATCAATTGGATCGAGGCCGGGCTATCTTTATGACTATTATGCAATGCCAACATATTCACAACTGCGGTCAATTGATGCGAATCAAACCTTATAAACCAAGAATTATAACCACTATAACTCAAGCTTATGCAGTTCCTGGATGGTTCCATCATTGCTATTCTAGATAAAGAAGTTTGCACAATTCCTGTTTTAAATAAGACGTAAATCTATACCAACATCATTCAAGTATAGAATTATATAAATCTTTTGTAAAGCGGATATTTCTAAAATGCGAACTGATTTACTAAATGTTCTGTTCAATAGATTGCTAATAAATATGGCAAAAAGTAACATTAAATTATAATTATAAAATAGTAATATGTATATATTACTATATAATCTAAAAATAAAAAGTTGCATAAAATAAATACGAATTTCCTTGAATTCTGTGCGCATTATAAAAAAGAATACTTGGATTTTCCATACTTTTTTTTATTTACAATGAACCATTCGACTTATAAAAAAACAAGTATTTTTATAAGTAGTTCTTTTAAAATATAATATTTCACTTGTACGTGTATAATCTTAAGAATGCCTATTTCAATGTTTACTTTAAGAGTTCTGTATAAGAGTTCTATATGAAATATTACTATTGTGAAGTAGGATTCTTGTCTTCCACTTAAACTTAACAAGACGTCAGATGCACTTTGTTAGATTGACAGAGAACACAGACAATAAAATTAGTTAATAATATAAAGAATATCAACAACATTAATTCAAAACAACAAACATAAAAACCACACACAAAAAAAATAGATATTTAAACATAGATTATTTGCAAACACAGAACAATTTACATTACAGTACAGCATAGTTCAACCTCGATTAGTCCGGTTTGAAAATTTCAAAACAAACTATTCAAAATATTAATTGAGCAAACTACAGTTAATACACGCACGTTTTTTTTTCTTTTATGCACAAAAATAGACGACTCCCTTTTTGAGGGAGAAATACAGCAATATATTTAGCTGATTCAATAATAATCGATAACTTTAGATAAAACAACAGTTTAAACAAAAATTATAATTTATTAAAATTACAAATTTACTTCAATGCTCCACTCATACATTGTACAATAAATTGTGGTAGATAAAAAGAAAATGTGTGACACTTTTGATAAGACCATTTTTAATATTAGTAAGTAATAACAATCTGATCTAGACAATATTTATGATTTATTACAACTAAACACATTTATATTACAATTTATATTTGAAGCAAAAAAAATATAATATTAATTTCAAAATTTAACCTTATATGAAGAATCAACTTACTATAAATGAAAAATTGAACTAATTTTATTTTACCAAAGTAAAATTATCATATATCGTAAAGTGCGGGTTCCGCCAATATCCCGAACTGTTTGAAACAATCGAGAATTTTAAAAGCGCATTATAATAAACTGCATAAAAATAAACTTGACTGTATAAAAGAAGATTATTTATATATAAACAAAATAATTTTGTGTACTTATTTTTTGGATATTTTTATATTGACAATTAAATTTAAGTTTGTTTGAAATTTTTAAACCAGACTATAGTGAATCCGGGATGATGAAAACCGCACTATGAGAGGAAACTGCTGAATTTGAAGATTACTCATAAAATTTGTAAAATATATTTGATATTATATAAATAACATTAAAATATATTTATTTCTCCCTGTATCAAATATTACAAAATCACTTTTTTTTCTAAACATTTTATTTTCTATATCCATAAAAATATTGTGTTTTCGTTTAGATAAACCTCACCAAAATATATCATCTTAGTTATTAAACAAAACTATGTAGATACAAATTAATTATAAATTGTTGATACAAACAATATCTATTATGTAAGAATTTGTTGAGTATGAAATAAAAATGATGCTAACTGAAAATAGATAAATGTTATCTGCGTCGAAGACAATAAAACCGAAAGAAAATAGTAATTAATTTACATTATTAATGAGCCAATGCAGAAACCGAGAAAGGTCATCATTTTAGTAATCGCAGCCGCTGACCCACAAATTTATTACAAATACAACTAGTATATGTTTTTCATATTGGATCTAATGCAACGACGACACTGTTCAACGTTTTCAAAAAATCTGTGCTTAAACGTACATTGTTCTTCAATTGATACATCTAATTTATAATTATATAATGGATTAAAGTGCTTATCATAAATATGTAGTAGGATAATGAGCATATACAAGAACCAATTTGGCATTAAAGACAATGAATTGCTCGAGTCGTTCTATTTATAAAGCACTTTATTCTTTATTTGGCTGAATTATCACCAAATATAGAATGAGCAAACATTTTCTTAAGACAAGTTAATAATTTTTGGTAGTAAATATTTTGTATTATATTAAATTGTTGATGAAATTATAGTGTAAACACGTTGTTAAGTTAAAGTCATTGGGAAAGTACAAAACTATATGGGAGAGTAATATTTGATTGATTCGTATTTGTAAAATCATTTAAGTTAATATTATTTTTCATAAATAATGCACACTAATTTCAATCTGTGTTATGTGTCGGATATAAATCAAGTTTGATACGTGTGTATATGATGATGAAACTAGTTTCTTTCGAGTGGAGATGGAAAAAATGTATGGTAAGAGTAATAATATAATGAGCTGTACCTTCGACAAAGTCCAATTGAACCGTGGAAGAGTGTTGGTCTTGTGTAACTGGTAGCAGTGAGCGTGGGAATAAATCACTTTTAATTAGTTTAGTCTCTGATTGATCCAGATCGGATTCGTATCGTGTGTCTTCTCTGTATGAGTCTTCGTCGTATCTGGAAGGACAAGAGATGTTTGAATCGCGCCACCCGCCACCTGGTCGTGTTGGACGCGCACTGAAGAAAAAAGCCGACGCGGACTCTCGCGCTGAGGAGTCACATGGCGAGACAAGGCTGTCTCGTGGTGGGGGCGATGCGAATAGGTAGAAGAGATGCATTCAAGAATGCACAGACTGAATCAGGCATTATCATCATCATGCATGCTCTACTCTACTGCAGACTACTCACTCTACTCGCTACCATAGACAACAATGTCCCAGTAGATGCGTGTCTGCACCTCGAGCAAAACCACATCCATCTTTCAACCTAATTCTACTTAACAAAACGATGATAAATACATGTTCGCTAATTGAGAATTCTTTATGTACATTAATTATCCAACGAATTGTTGATCCCGTTGGCCTTTCGACGCTTAAATCGGTAAATATTTATACCGAAAACGAGTTGTTAATCCCGAGGTGATTTTACATAAAATTTGTAATCCGTTCAGTCCAATGATACTGGCATTACGTTAACACAATTCAAAAAGAAATCTAAATCTCTAAAATAAACACATACATTGTTTCACAACTACGTCATGAATAAAAATAAATAACACTACAATCCAACAAATAATAGGAATATCTAATAAGCAAAATCTGGTAAAACCAGATGAATCTGTAGAATTATAAAGGGTTAAAACATCATTCAACTAAATGATGAACTAGTAGGGAACCATTATGGATTCTAGTGGTACTCGGTGAATGCTTGGAACTATACACATTAAGTAAAATGCAATTGTTATTGAGATACGTACTCGTATCAAAAGCAAATTTGTCAATGATCTTGAAGCAGTTTATCTTGTGGAAGTGATTTTTTCCAAAACTCTCGGAGGGTAAGGTTAGCATAGAGCCTTTTGTAATAGGTTAGGTTCCACTAGTATACATGTGACAGATTTATTTCAAGCACAAAGAGAAGTAATGTTTAGAATATGCTGAAATGCAGATTATATTTTCAATAAATAAACCCTATTTGTATCTATCCTTTACGAATTTGTTCATTCCTCTTGAATAATCACAAACGTCTTTAAATAGACAAACCATCAATTTTCAAACAAATCTTATGATAATATAATAAAACAACATAATTTAACATAACATAATCTAAACAAAAGCTACAGACGGTTGACATATTACTTTTTATGCAATGTAAATTATTTTAATAAGTAACAAAATGATAATTACTTTGACAACCTACTAGTACTTGATATTGTTGTTAATAAACATATTGTTTATTTTGTCCATAGATTATTATTTTTTGGTCTAAACTTAAAGTTGTGTTATGTATTATTGCCCACATATTATTGGTCCCGATTCACTATACTACCGTTTGAATATTTCAAATGAAACTTTATTTTTGCTAATATTGAAATAAATTCTAAAAAATAGTATACAAAATTACTTTTTTTTATTTATTTCCTTATTTAGTCCGGTCTCTAACAATCCGGAATATTGTCTATTTACAATTAGTTACAATATGCATATCATATACAAAAATACACCTAAAATAGTTTTATCTTAAAAATGGAATACACTCAAATTGTCATCTTGTTTTCCTTGGGTTTTAAAAGATGCGTTTGAATTACTATCGTCATAAATAACTGTTTTTTGTTGAGATATAACTGATATTCTTACTGAAATGTCAAGTTGTACGTATCTGATTTTGTGCGAAGTGCAAGAAGCATTTTATTTGATTACTCTACTCAGACAAGACACTACGTTTCACGATCTTTCGACGTGCTTATGCTTATCCACTACCCGGAAACTATTAAAAGATGCGCTCCATTGAAAGAATGCCCATTGTCAAGAAGTAAAATAAAATGTACAATCCTGCAAAGTATTTAATTTGTAATACACTCTTTCTTTATTGCGGCTATATAATATAATTTTATAAACTGAAATAGTATAATTCAAAAGTCATTTATTTTGTGATATATTAAAGAGAAAAACAATTTTGCACAAAAAAGTATCAAAAGTTATACTGAAAGTTGCAACAATGTTGATAGTGTTCGAATTAGTTGGATACTTACAGAAGGAACAATCCAGAAAATTATTATGCGATAAACTTGTTTTAGTTAAAATCTAGCTATAATCTTCCATCTGATTTGCTTGATGCATTTACTTATTACAGTTTTGGAATTATTTTCAAAACCTTTTTGTTCTTCAGTAGTCATGAGCAATATCCTCTATTTCTACCACCATTTCGGTTCTTATCATGCACACAATTGTTTGTGATATTCGAACCTGTCATATTTTTACATTATACACATTATATTTTACTTTTTTTTAATAAATACTGATCATCTTTTGAAATAATGTTTAAAAACTGACTGAATAAATTTAATTTTTGTGTTTGATATAAATTTAACAGAAGTGTTTTGAGTTGAGTAGATATATGTTAAAGATTCGTACATAATATGAGAACAAGAATTTTACATTAAGTACATATGAATTTAATATGTGAATTAGTATGCTGAGAGAATAATAACGAATGCTGCTGGATGGAGGAATGCTCGGCTCGTATTGGTAGATAAATGTGCGAAGGAGATATATATTAGAAGAGACATATGTGCAGAATGTGAGAAGATGCGAGGGGCTTGATAATTCAACACCCTCGGAAAATATTTCCGTACTGGAATTCTGTAAACATCAGACGAGTCATAGTGAAGTATTAGTTCCATTGGATTTGTGTGAAAAAATGTCCGTTTGTTAAATTCCCGAGTCAGCATTTCCGAAAACGATTTCCGCAGTTACAAACACATGTGACTAATTTCTATACATTTTTTGCTTTATTAATTAGAAGTATTTCACAGTTAGCGCAATAATCAGATATGGAACGCACGCTTTGTCGACGAAGCAACAACAAAAAATAATAGCAGAAGAAATATATATATATAATCATTACATTTTAATCTTATTTCCGTACAACGACGGGTGTGTGCATTTCAAGAAATACCGTGCGAGAACCGTTCAAGATTTTACAATCATTGTTCGAATATTATGCAATTCAAACGCATTCAAAATAAAATAATATGGATTATGCCCAGTGGCGTAACTTACGAGGCGGGGAAAGTGACCGCCCCATGCACGATGCACGCAGCGCCTATTAAACAATGACATATTCTAAGAAATTGCGCTTTTGTATAGTGGCAAATATATATTTAAAATAAAATGAAGTTGCGCCTCTGGAAGTATAATGTGATACCAAGAATAATGTGTCAGTCCATTTTAATAGAAATAACGCTAATTACATAACATTCAAGACAGTTGTATATATAAATAGTAATCCGCAGAAAACAATGTGGCCTAAAAATTACTAAACCATTTTAAATTGTAATATCTTTTTCAATTTTGAGTAATTCACATTTATGCTTCAATAAACATAAATTTCTTGGATATAAATTTTATTTAGTTTTAAAATGTATATTCTTTTTTCTCTTCCCAATGTGTTATAATTTGTTTCTTGGCTTATTCCATCATTTTCTTTAGGCCAACATTCAATTATGGTTCGTAGATGTTGTGTGCATATTCTTTTTTTTATAAATAGTCCCACAGGACGAAGTCTGGAGCATTTAAGTTTAGTGAAATTATCCTCCTTCAAAAAGTATACATTAAGAGTCCCATTATTTGATGATCAATATGAACCAGTTCCCACCATACTACAGTACGCACAAAATTATTATTTTTCCTTCTGCAACCTCAATTTACTTAACAAAACACAAAACTGGCTAATAATACAACCTAATATAACCTAATATAAGGACATTTGGTTAAATTAAAATAAATTATATTTTGTACCATGTTATTATTGTACATAATACTTCTTATAAAAAAAAATATTGATACGACGTACTTATTACAAATATATATGAATTAATTTTGTAATAAAATTTTAAAAAAATATTGTGATAATCTTAGTAATAAGCCTTTTCATTTGGGTTATTTTTTTTAACTCAACACTTATAAGTTAAACTGTAGAATTACCTTTGTGATAAGATAAGTTTGCACTGTGAGTTATTGATCTGTGCGATTGCCATGTAAAATGCATAGATGCGAGACATGTGCCTCATCGAATTAGAGGATCACAGCATGGAAATTGTATATATAATATAGTATTTAGTTGTTACACATTTAGATAGAAATACTACACTTAATAAATATTCCAATACATATTTTAATGAAGTATAGTCAGCATGAAAAATAATAAACAATTAATTTGAAGTAGTTAACTTTAAATGATTTATTTAGAATAATATTTCTAAGTGGAAAGACAAGAAATAATAATGTTTATGATGATTTGCCATATGTTTCTGACCCAAATCGTTTAGTGGGCCAAAAAAATTACTGAGCTTAGGTACAAATAAAAAAATAAAATTATTTGACACTTTTTTATTGTATACCGAAATTTAATATAGAAGGTGTAAACTTCAATTGGTCCGCAAAAAATCTTCAATTGGACCGCAGCCCATGGGCCGCGGGTTGATCATGTCTGCTCTACTGGTTATAACCAAATTTGTACCTATATTATTAATTAATTTCATACATATTTGAAAATAATAAAACGGGTTTTGGCCAAATGGCTAACGACCAAAAAACGCCTATACCTATGCAATTTATAGTTTATTTATTAAACCTAACTCACTAATGATATTAAAAAAACTAACTATAGAATTAATAAATATCTAATTATCTAATACTAAATTTATACTGTTATAATACGGTTCCAAAAATGATTAGTTCATTATCAAATACTAACCTAGAGCAATTGGAATAACGTAGTAAATATTCAAATACAGTAACGATAAGATACCAGTCAAAACACCTTATCAATTGGAACAGCAACAAAATATGAAACAATACATTTCAACAATAATGACTCCTATTATATCATAAATAATTTATGTTTTCATATTCCTATTAAAAAAAGCATTAGGGTTTTTAATAATGCACATACGTTGTGTTGTCCAAGGCATAAACACTAAATATATTCCAATGACCTAAGTTTTGATATATAATATAGTATTAATAAACTGAGCTTTATTTATATAT